GGATTGCAGGGAATCGGAGACCTCGACTAAGACTAAAACATTCTATAGAAACCTGGTTAGCTATTCTATTACCCAGTTGTGTGTATGAGCTGCTGTGTCTGCAACAGTTGCACTCTCACGCTTTGTTTACGTGCTTCGTGATTATCCTTACCTTGTAATGTTCAGCTACATTTCTTAACACCTTTTTTTTTAAATATCTAGAAACCATGAGTTTTTAACCCTTTGGCTCGGTACTATAGGTACTGCAACCCTTCGGCCTTGATTCCGTGATAGATAACGTACATATGGGAGAAATGTGGATTTTCTGCCTACCCATGGGCGTGAACCATGGCCACAAGGAGTTCGTCAGCAGGTGGCCGCGCAGTCGGGTTTAGCAAACTGAGCTAGCGAGCCGGGCTTTCCTGACACTTTAAGAGTTAAGTCGTAGCGGTTCTTTGCGTTTTCTTGGCTTCATGAATTTGCGAAATCACTGAGAATTTCCCCACTAGAGAAACAGATCGCACTAACTTCTGCCAACGTGTGACGGAAGCGGATTTGTTTATTGTAAAAATGTACTTGGGTATCAGGTTGAATTAGTTTAAAATCGGTACAGGGTCAGTAATGTCATCGCCGATTGATTTATAAAAATGTGTATCTAGCTCTGTATACCCGATGCGCCAGAGGTTGAGAAAAGTCTTTTACTTACCTTTGCTGGCGACATATTAGTGTAACACGCGGACATTCAACAGATCAGCTGAAAAGCACATTTAGATAGAACAGCGGATCGCTTTTCTTGTCTTTTGGCTAATATCAAAAGGTCGGATCGGTTCTTCTTCTTATAGTCCCTGTCATGTGTTTGTGTGTGTGTGAGAGAGAGAAAGTTATATAAACGTACAATTTAAACATATTTTTACCTGATTTTAAAATTTAAAAAAAAAGGGGGGGGGGGTGTTTCGCCGGATTGGTGGTAGTAGGTAGAAGTTCCACGACCCTCTCAACTGGAAACATAACTTTCTGTAACATACCGAAGTTCACTCACTTTGAGAAATCACTTTGAACTCGCTGAACAAGCGAAGAAGAGAACCACAGGCTATCGGGTTGAAGACTTCTCGCCTACACTTCGCATCGCCCAAATTTGACTGAATGTAGTTATTACTGACACAGTTTGTCTGAAATCTCTTATAGAAGTAGGTGCTATAGCTTCCTGCAGGGGCGTCGGGGCCTAGGAGTTTGAGCTCTAGTCCGAAATATTTGTAAGAGGCCCCCCATCCAAACAATATCTTCTTCTTCTTTTTCTTCTTCTTCGTCTTCTTCTTCTTCTTCACCGGCTGTAAACTCCGGTGAAAAGTTCTGGTTGTTCTTCCATTTCTAGACTTGAGTCTTGTTCCAATACTAGGCATCTGCATGTACGTCAGCTGGGATTGAACCCGGCACCCCGGCATTACGAAGCTCGTTCGCAACGCCTAAGCCACAGAAGCCGTCGATATATACGTGCATACATCTATACTTACTTATACACTCTTGTATGTACCTGTCTGTTATGTTTATGTTTCTCCTAAAACATTACGTGTTTCGGAATTTCCAGACGGTGATAAGACACCACTTGATATATGGCTGACTGTGTTTGTATGTAGACATTTCTATGATGTTTGTGAGGCCCAGCGAACATTAGTTCCGGTTGTCTACGTTTGTTTTGCTAAGCAGCTACATAGCCATCGACTTTCGAACTGGGTTGGGAGCTCTACAAAGGGGGTGGGAGATGGAGCAGGAGAGAATTAGTTGCGAAATGTGATGAGGACCCTAAGGGAGGGAGAGATTTAGGGGCGTTGAGGTAGAGAGCGAAAGAGTGAGAGAGCTACGAGCGGAGTGAAATTTTTAACGAATTAAGGGTAAATTTATTAGTTGCATATAATTTACAGGACTGCCTGTCTGTCTGTGTGTGCGTGTGCATGCATCCAATAATCAAACGGGTTGATCGTCTGGTCAGAATGGAAGGAAATCGGCCAGCAGTTAGAGCTACCACTGCGACTCCTCTCCGCGATGCTTTACGACATGAGCAGTGTGGCAGAAGTGGAAGAAGAATGTCACGACATACATACATACATACATACATACATACATACATACATACATACATACATACATACATACATACATACATACATACATACATACATACATACATACATACATACATACATACATACATACATACATACATACATACATGCATGCATGCATGCATGCATGCATGCATGCATGCATGCATCCATCCATCCATCCATCCATGCATCCATCCATCCATCCATCCATCCATCCATCCATCCATCCATCCATCCATCCATCCATCCATCCATCTATCTATCTATCTATCTATCTATCTATCTATCTATCTATCTATCTATCTATCTATCTATCTATCTGTGTAACTGCGCATATATGCATCTGTCTGTGTATGGATGACACACGACGCCTGCTGTCACCGCTGTCATACACTATGCATTTATTCTAGACAGTTCGAAGCTGTTTCCATTCTGGGAAAGACGTCACATAGAAACGTCAATAAACAGGCTGACTGTTATTCCGCTAGTGACATTCACAACTAGTTCCCGGTAAGAGAGTAGTCAAGACGATATGTTAGTGCCAGAGTAAAGTAGCTAGTAAAACTCTTAGTGTACCAGCACAGAGAGACTCGGTTGCCCGCCATCAGCTGAGGATTAGGAAAAAGGCTAGTGGTGGTGAGGGGGAGAAAGGGGCATAAGGCGTGACAGGAAAGCTGGAGGGTAAATGAAGCAGGTGGAGACCCTTAGTGAGGATTTCTAACAGTTTGACGTTATAGCATTGAGGAGAATGTGTGTTTATGAGTAGTAACATAATTATAAATTTAACATGGCTGTCGCGTCTGTACCGATAAATGGTTTCATAGAACATCCAAGAATAAAATGGGTTGATCGTCTGGTCAGAATGGAACGAAATCAGCCAGCAGCTAGGGCTACCACTGCGACTCCTCTCCGCGATGCTTTACGACATGAGCAGTGGAAGAAGAATGATTGTCACGACATACATACATACATACATACATACATACATACATACATACATACATACATACATACATACATACATACATACATACATACATACATACATACATACATACATACATACATACATACATACATACACATACATACATACATACATACATACATACATACATACATACATACATACATACATACATACATACATACATACATACATACATACATACATACATACATACATACATACATACATACATACATACATACATACATACATACATACATACATACATACATACATACATACATACATACATACATACATACATACATACATACATACATACATACATACATACATACATACATACATACATAGTAGGTTATGTGCATCATATAAAATGACTTAGCCAGACATGCCACCAAAAGTCCTGGAAAGGGCTCATACAATGGTGATGCAGTCAAAGGAGACAGACCCAATGAATTCGCCTCCCCTTTTTCATGTTTTTCTTTTAAAGCCATATTGTGCTTAAAAATAAAGGTTCTTGTCTGCCAGTGCAGAGTTCCGGGTTTAAACCCCAGAAATAGTTCTCATTGCCGGTACTCTGTATGGCAGGACCCGCTGTGGTAAGGCCTCTAGGCTTTCGCCTGCGGATTCTACATCCATGCTTTCGCCTTGCTTTATTCAGATATGACTGATTTGATTTGATTCAAGAACTGACATCCCAGCACTCGGGGCATTCATATAAGCGCTCCATCCCCATCTTCAGCAGCCAGCGAAGAGTTCCGATACTAATGGTGCCAGTTGCTTTCTGATTAAACGTCCGTCTTGCCTTTCCTCTGAGCCTAGAGCTACTGCCAGAACCTCTCGTCACCCCCAACTGCATCAATCTCACCAGATTGTGGTATAGATATGACTTTGACTCCCAGATCGAGCCAGCGTTAAATGGGTACCTGGTAAAATCCTAGGAAGTAAAGGTGACCGGCGTGATTGATGTTGACTACATCTTCTAGCTAGTTTCGATTGGTCTCGTAAAGTATAGGTCTAGCCCAATATGCCCAATATGCCTGAAGGCTTGGAAAATAGTTTTTTGTTTGTTTTTTAACTCATAGCTCATGGTTGGAGACAGACGCAGAGAACTGGATGTCGAAGTTTCCATAATTTATTAGAGTAGCCTGGAAAGGAAAGGTGACCAGGAAGAGATTTATCACTCCCGCCGAATATTTGTCAGTAGTAGTAGTGGCAGCAGTAGTAGTAGTGGCAGCAGTAGTAGTAGTGGCAGCAGTAGTAGTAGTGGCAGCAGTAGTAGTAGTGGCAGCAGTAGTAGTAGTGGCAGCAGTAGTAGAAGTGGCAGCAGTAGTAGTAGTGGCAGCAGTAGTAGTAGTGGCAGCAGTAGTAGTAGTGGCAGCAGTAGTAGAAGTGGCAGCAGTAGTAGTAGTGGCAGCAGTAGTAGTAGTGGCAGCAGTAGTAGTAATGGCAGCAATATTAGTAGCAGCAAAAGCAGCCGCGGCAGTAGAATAAAAAGAAGAAGATAATGAATGAATGCATTCCCGCCTTCCCACTTTGTTTTGCACATACATACACGCATGCACGTACGTGCGTACATTACGTACGTACGTACATACATACATATAATTGATATGAAATATAAGACACAACCAAAGTTACTTTCAAGATAACAATGTGGACTGCCCAAGATGAATGACACACAGAGGAGTAAGACACAAACAGTGTCTCACATACGGGCTTTTGACTGATCACCGGCGTAGGGATGTTTTGCTGGCTACGTGACATGCAGCAGCCTCCCAGGTGTCCATAAGTTTTGTGAACCACATACATCTCTGAACCAAATCTATTGTGAACCAATGTGCATGCATCTCAGTACACCAGTATGTAGTTCACAGTTAGCTAAACCAACAGTTGTTGATTTTTATTGTTTCCTGAGATTGAATTGGCCATTTTCCGTTTCATAGACCCAAGGGTCATATGTTGCTGTGAAAGTTTTCCATGACAGTAGTCATGTCGGCTACAAGGCGGATGACCTGCGTGAACTGGATGTGCTGCGCCAGTTGGGACATCCTAACATTATCAAGTTACTGACCATTGAGAAAATTGTAAGCTACTCACTTACTTAGCTGTTCACTTACCTATCTATGTAACTGACCTACTAACTTAGCTATACAGTTACCTATCTATATAACTTACCTACTAACTTATGTATCTGTGTACATACTTACATATTTTCCTACTTAAATATTTACTTACCTGCTTACTTACTTTCCCACCCACCTATCTGTCTACTTACCTGCATGCCTGTGTGCTTGCTTGTCTGTCTGCCCGTCCATCCATCTATCCATCCATTCATCTGTTTTCTGTCAATCAGTCTAGTGTCTCTCTGTCTGTCTTTTAGCATAACATCTACATCTATGAACATCACATGATTTTCTAGTTGCTTGTTGATTGTTCAAGTTTCTGCACCATACATTAGGGCAGAGTATACATAACATTTGCTGATTCTCATTTTGAATGTGTTGTTTATCTCTCTAGCTGTCAGTAATTATCACATCTTATTGAAGATAGCTTTAGCCATTCCTATTTCTTTTTTAATTTATTTTCTACTTCTGCCACCGACTGTTATTACATGTCCAAGATAGGAGAAACTTGTTACTTGTTCTAATATTTCTCAGTTTGTTGTGATTTGTGCCAGCATCTGTTATTACATGTCCAAGATAGGAGAAACTTGTTACTTGTTCTAATATTTCTCAATTTGTTGTGATTTGTGCCAGCATCTGTTATTACATGTCCAAGAAAGGAGAAACTTGTTACTTGTTCTTATATTTCCATGTTTGTTGTGATGTTTACTGTTGATTGCTCCAGTCCATTGTTAATTACTATTTTTATTTTATTTTTTTTAATGTTAGTTTCAAAACTATATCGATATATACATTGTTGTAAAATGAATATTATAATACAGGATTGTTGAATGATTGCTAGTATTTTCAACTGTTAACTGTTTGAAATCCCAACCATCATTCTCAGTGACCCTGTATTACCCAGCCTTGAGTGAGTACCGGGTGCAGTCTCGGGAAGTAAAGGCGGTCAGCGTGATGCTGACCACATCACCTATTTTGTTCCGAATTGTCTATAAAAATTTAGGTCTAGCCCTATATGCCCCATACGCCTAAAGGGGTGGAAAAGGGACCTTTACTTACTTTACTGTATTACAGCCAGGATAAAACAAATAATGGATAAAGTTGGTATCTGTTATAAATGCCAGCCTCTGCTGCAAATGCTTGGAAATAACCTTAGACACTGGTCATTCATATATTCTTTGACAGTTTTAAATAGATCAGTATGGGATCCTAATGTTTTCATTTGTATTTTTATTTATACCTCTAGGTGTCTAGCTCTAAACCAGTTCTGGTAATGGAATATTGCGAAGGAGGATCTCTCCATCATATGTTAGATCAACCACCTTATTACTATGGGCTAACAGAAGAGGAGTTTCTCTTAGTCCTATTTCATGTTTGTAAGTAAACTACCCATTTTCTTGTTTGTTTGTTTGCTTTGTTTGTGGTTACTTCTTCTTTTGTTTTTCTTCACATTTTTCTGTGGTCACCCTTAGAAAAGATGTTTAGCACAGTGTAGTCGTATTACGATGGAAATATGCGAGAAAGTGAGGTCAATGCATCATCCAAGTCACTTTACTCTAATTACAATCATCGAGCATTACTACTTTTGGATGCAAAATGGCCCTTGTCACTTGCAATAGATGAACAACACACAGGACTGAATCTGGATGAAGTGTTTGTACAAACTCACTGCTATGAATGCTAGTCCTTTTCAGAACTTATGTGGCTTGCAGTTCACAGCATCGGCCTGAAGAGTTAGAAGTCACTCATTTATGGCTTGCGATTCATAAACATGTGCTTCTGTTTTCTTCTTCTTCGAGTTCACCGGCTGTAAACTCAGGCGGAAAGTTCTGAGTATCCACCAATCTCCGGACTTTAGCATGTACATCCGTTTTACAGATCTGACTTAAATGTGTGCAGTCTGTTGGTTCTTTGCATCTCAGGCAGATGCCCTCTGACTTTAAAGAAAACCCCCAGTTAGTCGACTCTTACGACATGCGTGTTGGGGAGGGAGTGGGTCTATTCTTATTTTCCCCACAATGGAGCCCAGGAACCCACACGGGGAAGGTTCTCTCATATTTGAGAGTAATTGTGCTGACATCCATTAAATACTCACAAATTTCTCATTGTGTTTATAAAATAACTTAACAACGTTCTCATTTTATCTGTTTTATAACATTTTGTTTGTTATGTAAGCACTGTTTCCTTCTGGTTTTCATAATGTAAGATGGCCTACGTGCCTAATTTGTGACCCTTTTGAAAATATTGTTTGTTTGTTCGTTCATATATTACACTTTTTCAAAAGCGTTAGCTGCCCATCCTTTACAGGATTTCGCACAGCAAACCCAACAATTCATCTTTTTAAAGAAAGGTCTCAAGCATACAGATATCTAGCCCATAGCTGGCCCCATTTAGAGAGAAGTGGTACCAGTAGAGCACGCAGTTTCTGGTCCATCCTTCATTCTTTCTCAGCTCTCCCAGGCCTAATCTTACCAAGTTCTGTTCCATAACTGCACCATCCCTCAGTTCATGGTTATGGCTCTATGTATTTCTGGTGTATACCTTGTTCTATCCCATAGTCGCACAAACAGTCTGTTCCTGTATTGAGATGCCAACCATGTTACAGTATCTAGTGACAGTCCCCAGAGATCTCTGTAAATACTGCATTCATGAGCAACACAATCCATAAAGCAAACATCCAGAGCCTTCAGATCTTGCTGCAGTTATTTCCTTGGTATATGATTTTACTTTATTAATGCAATTCGCAGTGTTCTGGTTGTATGATAATGTTCTGGTTGTATGATAATGTTCTGGTTGTATGATAATATTCTGGTTGTATGATAATGTTCTGGTTGTATGATAATATTCTGGTTGTATGATAATGTTCTGGTTGTATGATAATATTCTGGTTGTATGATAATGTTCTGGTTGTATGATAATGTTCTGGTTGTATGATAATATTCTGGTTGTATGATAATGTTCTGGTTGTATGATAATGTTCTGGTTGTATGATAATATTCTGGTTGTATGATAATGTTCTGGTTGTATGATAATATTCTGGTTGTATGATAATGTTCTGGTTGTATGATAATATTCTGGTTGTATGATAATGTTCTGGTTGTATGATAATGTTCTGGTTGTATGATAATATTCTGGTTGTATGATAATGTTCTGGTTGTATGATAATATTCTGGTTGTATGATAATGTTCTGGTTGTATGATAATGTTCTGGTTGTATGATAATATTCTGGTTGTATGATAATGTTCTGGTTGTATGATAATATTCTGGTTGTATGATAATGTTCTGGTTGTATGATAATATTCTGGTTGTATGATAATGTTCTGGTTGTATGATAATGTTCTGGTTGTATGATAATGTTCTGGTTGTTTAAATGTCTGGACCTATCAGAGAAGATTTCCTATACATTTTCAGGTGAGGGAATGAAGTATCTACAAGAGAAGAATGTTATACACAGAGATATTAAACCAGGAAATATTATGAGGTAAGCAGCCATCTTCTTCTTCTTCTTCTTTCCTTCACTTGAAATAGACTATTTATATCTGCCATGTTGTCTCTGGTATGAACTTCGCTGTCTTTTGAGTCTTTTTTTGCCATCTGAAAAATTCATTTAAGGAACTAAAGGACCACTTTTACTAGATATGAATTTGTCAGTTTTAAATGGCATCACTTTTCTGAAGAAGAAAAAAGAAACATAATGTTAACCGTTTCACCCGAGAAAACTTGTGAAGGGGACAAATCGCAAAACCCAGGAATTCCTAAAAAAAATTTTAAATAATGAAAAAAAAAATACATTGTAAATAGATCACTAATATCGGGAAAAGAATCATTTACCATATTTCTTCAAGTATATGATGCTCCTATGTAAGAGATAGAGCTTGATTTTGGGACTGGAAATTTGGACAGAAAAATTAATACGATTACCTTAAAATCTGCTACCACTGTATAAGTTTCACGCTGTTTTTTACACCCTATGTTTATGGAAATTAAATGCATCCTATAGTTAGGGAAATACGGTATATACATTGTCTAAATGTTAAGGTAAATTTTATGCTGAGATGGTAAATTTTACGCTGGTCTCCCCATTTTCACACCTCTACACACTAGCTCGCTTCTGATTGGATGACCTACTGACCACCTCACTTCTGATAGGTTGGCCTCGAGTGATCCGACTATCGCACATGGTCATGGAGATATTCCGCACCCGCGCTCATACCGCGTGTTGTATATTTCACCATGCCGGAGCTTTTAACACTTCTAAAACATTTAGATACTGGGTCTAACACACAACTCTCTTAGAGAGTGACAAAACCTATGTCACAGGCCGTCTCTTTCTCGGAAATAAAAACGTAAATACCATACAACAACAGACTGCCACATCCATAACCTCGACCACGGTAGACTAGTCCAACCAACTTATCAGTGGAGTTGACCTACACTCGGTGGTATGCAAATGGGGAGACCATCGTATAAATAATCAATTTTAAAATAAAATATATGACAAGAAGTGATTGGTAAATACAAATGTATTTAAGAACTAAATAATTATATTCGCATGGGTCTAAACATAAACTTGTGGGATGACTCATATTGTGACTTCCTCGCTGTTCAGCAGCTGATCCTTAAAGGCAAAATATGACATCATAATAACTTATAAAGTCAATTTTTCCACAACTAAACCCTGTAAATGCAAATTTTTTTTTTTCGGCCGGCAATGCCAAAATACCGACATTTTAGTGTTGAAATGGTTTACATAATATCAGGTCGGTAATTTAGTAAATATGCTTAACATCAATTGTGCGGATAGAATACTCAGGATGTAAAATATTTATGTATAACACACATTATATTCACACTTACATGCACACTCTTTACACATACATGCACCCGCATATGTTAAAGATTCTTTACTTTCTTTTTATAGCCAACAAAAGGCAGAAGTCATAAAAACTTATTTTGATGCAATATGCTTTGTCAGATCAATAACAGAGGATGGATTTTCTGTGTACAAATTAACCGACTTTGGTGCTGCCAGAAACCTGCATGAGGATGAAAGTTTCCAGTCTTTATATGGAACTGAGGAATACTTGGTATGTTCTATCAGTATAAATATTATTGTGGTATTTATCATTTTTATATGGTTTCTACAGCTTGTTTAGTATCAAAGTTATAGTAGCAACTTCTAACAGTCAAAGGTGGAGAGAGCTGAACAAATGGGCAACAGCAGCTGGTGACTCAGTGCCATACAGTGTTACGGAATGTTGATGTTTTTAAACTTATTTCTCTGTGTATTTGATGCTTTTCTGCTGTTGTTGATAAACACTTGGATGTTGACATTACATTTATCCCTAGTTAATTACTTAGTTTGATGTACAAATGTTTTTTTTTTTTTTTTTTTGATCAAGAATAAAATGGACCCAATAAATTTGTTTTGCATGCTAAGAACAGTGTTTGTCAACCTTTTTCTGCAGCCCACCAAATCAAAGAAACTTGTTTCGCGGCACACCTGGCAGCTAACGGGGTACCGAAACAACAACAAATTTGCTGTCACATTATTACAATTATCAATATGTGCTACATCTGCTGCTGCCCAGAGGTTGGAAAATATAAGTGGTAGAGCAGTGGTTCTTAACCTGCCTAATGCGGCTACCCTTTAATACAGTTCCTCATGTTGTGGCGACCCTTTAATACAATTCTTCATGTTGTGGCGACCCTTTAATACAGTTCCTCATGTTGTGATGACCCTTTAATACAGTTCCTCATGTTGTGGCAACCCTTTAATACAGTTCCTCATTTTGTGGCGACACTTTAATACAGTTCCTCATGTTGTGGCAACCCTTTAATACCGTTCCTCGTGTTGTGGCATCCCTTTAATACAGTTCTTCATGTTGTGGCATCCCTTTAATACAGTTCCTCATGTTGTGGCGACCCTTTAGTACAGTTCCTCATGTTGTGGCTACCCTTTAATACAGTTCTTCATGTTGTGGCGACCCTTTAATACAGTTCCTCATGTTGTGATGAACCTTTAATACAGTTCCTCATGTTGTGGCGACACTTTAATACAGTTCTTCATGTTGTGGCGACCCTTTAATACAGTTCCTCATGTTGTGTCGAACCTTAAATACAGTTTTTCATGTTGTGGCAGTTCCTTGTGTTGTAGCGACCCCAAACATACAATTATTTTCAAGGCTACTTCACAACTTCAGTAAATATGTGTTTTTCTATGGTCTTAGGTGACCATTGTGGTAGAGCGAGGTTTTGGGATTTCTACCTGTTTGCTTTCATCTTTGAGGTGTTAATCCTATGAACTGCAATCTTATAAGAGAAATACTACCTACCCTACCCATTACCTGATGTGACCCACACAAACAATTTGTGTGGCCCACCTGGACTTTTCGGTGGCCCACCTGGACTTTTTGGTGGCCCACCTGGACTTTTTGGTGGCCCACCTGGACTTTTTGGTGGCCCACCTGGACTTTTTGGTGGCCCACCTGGACTTTTTGGTGGCCCACCTGGACTTTTCAGTGGCCCACCTGGACTTTTCGGTGGCCCACCTGGACTTTTCAGTGTCCCACCAGTTGAAATACACTGACCTAGAACATATTAAAGCCCACCACTTCATGCCCTTTCAACAACTGCTTCCTTACTTTTTACCTTTGTATTAAAAGAGGTAACATAAATAGTGGTTTTGTTCCCACAGCATCCAGGCATGTATGAGAGAGCTGTTCTGAAACTGCCAAACTCCCAGTCGTTTGATGCCAAGGTGGACTTATGGTCACTTGGTGTGACATTTTTCCACACGGCCACTGGTCAGCTTCCTTTTCAACCATATGGCGGTCGCAGCAATAGGCATACGATGTAAGTTATAATTTTTGTCTGAAAGTATGTAACATTTGTCACTCTGTGGTCTCCATGGTGAAGTAGTCAGGCTATTTGCCCCGTACTCTGAAGACCGTGGGATTGTTTCACAGACTGTACCACTCAGTTCAAGAGTGCGGTTTTTATGGAGATCCTGAGGATCTTTTCTGAAGCTAAAAAGTTCAGACTGTGTGGCGCTCTCGGTGGGTGGCTAGCCATTCTGTAAAGAGAGATTGAAGCAAATAGAATAACACCTTTTACTTTTCAGGACACTGTAGGGCTGGGGTAATTTTTAGCTTGAGATCTCACACTATATGGCCTTTGCAGTTTGTATAACTGTGTAGCTTTATATAAGTATTTGAGTGTCATTGTATAGTAAATATTTATGTGGGTTTTTGTTTAAGATAGAGATATGCAGGTCTGAAACTGTGCCATATGTATGTGAAGATAAGATAAATAATGATGTTTAGAATGTGAGAGGATCAACTTCATTGCACCAGATTTGATCCCTTATACCCAGTCTCTCTCTCGCTCTGTCTCTCTCTTGTCTTTCTCTGTCTCTCTGCAGTCTCTGTGTTTGCCAAAGCACAAAACTCCATAGCTCCAGAGGTCTTTAAAATATTTGCACTTACTGCTTGAACAACAGAATCCATAACTGAACTCTTAGCCTTCACAGTGCAAGGTGAGTGGCTTAACCATTTCACTATATAAACCCCCAGAGATGTGGATTCTTTGTTCTTAGTCAAGCTTTGCTCTGAGTTATTTCTGTTGTTGCTTTGCAGGTTGTTTTTTTTTTAACTGAGAAAACAGCACGGGTTTAGAATAGACACCTGTTGAGAAATCCGGATAATAGTGTAATTGGAAAGTCTTTGCGCTAGAATCTACAGGGTAAATGATTTAATGCAAACTCTAAAACACAGGTAGAAGGAAAAGAAAGCTTTAAAAAAAAACTTTCAAGAACCCTTTCAATGCCTTTGATCAAACAAATAGTGCTAGGCTTAATTTTAATTTTTTATAGACCAGTTTCAATGTGTGATTTGGGGAGCATCACACTGGCCGCCTTTACTTCGCAGGACATTACCTGTTAGGCTGGGTCAGCCTGACAGCCTAAGTCAGTTCATTAAAAAAAATATGCCCTAGTGTGGATATGAATCCTAGATCTTTGTGTCGGCTTCTAGCAGCATCACTGACGCAGCTCCCTGAAACAAGAGAGAGAAGTGAACAAGCTGGGGGAAGGATGTGCGGTGTTCTGTTTACGGCAGGATAACTTAGCCTGATTTGTTAGATGTTCCATTGGAGAAGACAGGGCAGAGGAGGAAGAAGCATCATGGGAGCACATTTTCAGCATACATTTGTGGTCCAGAGAGGAAATGCATGTGAACTACGGTGTTAGTAAGGGTCTTGTGGTTGAACTGCCCCACCATTATAAATATACTCTACAATGTACGTCTGAACAGGTTTTTAACCTTGTGTCTCTGGCTTTTCCATGACGTAACTGTTAATAAACTGAATTTAACTTCCGCTTGATAATGGAAAACCTGAATTATTTATATTCAAATTTTTGCTGTGCGTTAGTGTTTCTCTTAGGCAGTATCTGTTTTCAGATTCATCCGCATCATCACTTGCCTTGTCTAAAATGTGATCGACTCTCCACAACTTTATCACATGACTAATGAACCCTGTTTTTTTTTTTTTTTAGTTAGGAAGAATATTCCATTTTCGTTAACTTTTTTCCAGGCAGTCATGTTTAGTTACACAGTGTAGGCCAAATCTGTGACCTCACATTGTGCCAAGGGCTTTGGGCGAAGGAGCACATTGGGGAGGATACTAGCTTTTCCCTCAAAAGAGGAAGTGCAACCTGCCATGGCAAGGCAGATTAGGCCTATAGCTAGGTTGACAGTTGGTCTTCTTCTTCTTTTTCTTCTTTTTCTTCTTCTTCGCATTCACCGGCTGTAAACTCTGGTGGAAAGTCCTGGTTGCTGGTCCACTTCTGGACTCTATTTCTGTTTCAAAACCCAAATGTTGCATACAGTTCAATTTACAGATCTGACTCATTTGTGTGCAGACTGTTAGTTCCTTGTCTCTCAGGCAGGTTCACTCTGACATCAAAGTAAGCAGCAAATTGGTTAACTAGTTTACTCTTACGAGATGCTTTTGGGTAGCCACTGGGTATGTACTTGTTCTCCTCACAACTGAGTCCCGGAACCTACATGGTGAGGCAGCTGATATAGGAGGGAAGCTTCTACAGGGAGATTAAGTACTGGTCTTCTAATCTGGAAGAGTATGCAGCGTGCTTTATTCCAAATGTATTGGTGTTGCCTTTCCTTTTGAGTAAACAAGGCAGAAGAGGGATCATGCTGCATGTACAACACATCATCTCTACAATACTACTAAGGCTTTTGTGTGTTGGAGAGAAGAAACTTCATCCACATACCACCCTATAGCACATTTTAACACTATCATCTGGAGAGAGGAAAAGATGCCAGCAACATTGGTAACTACTCTGTATTCACAACAATTTGGCTGTATTCACAAAAGTTGTCTCAGGAACCATATTTATACTGCTGCAAGCTCTTCTAATTTGTCCATTCCAAGGGTCATTTTAGATCAGATGGATTGGTCAATGAAGGTCAATTTATGGTTAAAGGATCTTGAGCCGGAGGATTTATGGCCACATGACTAGGGCACTCGCGACAGACTGGGCGAAATTAGGATTTTATTGCGAACATTGTCTGGAAGTTGATGTAGTTTTTGTGTGCGGGCATTAGATTGAAACCCAGCACAGGTTAAAATTGGTTGCACTGCATTCATCTTTGTACAAGGACATGCTCGAGTAATGGGCAGTGAAATGGTATGGAAGTTAGCTGTTGCTACTACAATATCAGATGGTTAAACAGTCTTAGTCTTAATTGAGGTTTCAACACAACTGCAATCAGGTTTCCCCATACTTGCTCCGTTCCTGTGCAAATCAAATGAAATGTCCCTCATTGTTGCAGTTGAAAAACTGGTGGACAAACAACTAGTCCTGGACCAATCCATAAATATGAGTATGCAGCTGGCCAGTTCCCCTGATTGCTGCCTGCTGCACTATTCTCTGCAGACTGTAATGATCTATGTGCGCTTTCTCCTCGTTCACTTGCTTGACACTCAGTGGGTGATGTAATCATTATCTCACTGGCTGCCTTTGATTTCTTTCTACACAGTTTCTGAATGGGTTGACATTTTAGGTCAATTTAAAAATACATTTTAAGTAAATTTAAAAATATCGGTCATGATGAGATTTGAGCCTATGAATACCTGGCCAGCAGGAAAGCGAGCTTGCCTTTCTACTGTTGCGGCTCCTGAACTTGAAATCACTTGGCTTACGCCACTGTGGGCTAGAAGGGGGAAAACTGCTTTGAGGTATGGTTCGTAGTTTTGAATGTTGAATCAAGAATCGACATCACAGCATTTAGGACTTTCTTATAAATCCTCCATCCCCATCTTAAGCAGCAGGCACAGAATTGCGTTGGTACCAGTAACAGTCTGATTGTAAATCCATCTCCCCTTGCCTTTGAGTATTGAGCATCGGCCAGATTTCACTGCTGCTCCTCGGGTTCGTGGAAGAAAAGGCTGAAGTCATCAGCAGGTAGACACGGGACATTCAGAGAATTTACATGAGCAGGCGTCGATGGAAATGAAAGAGCTGACAGGTTGGCTGGATCCGCTATCACTACCGACGGTCAGCCTATGGATCATGCTGATATTATCAGTGCCCTCAGAGAAATGGGAAGGATAGAGGACTTTGGTGGCAGTGAATCCACATCACTCGCCAGAATGGCAGACTTGGGAATTAAGATCGGCACAGCAAAAAACGAGACGCACACCAGACACGCCAGAAGACTTGTTAATCAACATAGAACTGGTACTATTAGCCATCGGACATTGGGGTTCATACTGAGGGGAGGATCTAAGCACCTATGGACATGTCCGGAGTGCAATGAGGATAACCCAACTAACTAACTAACTAACTAACTAACTAACTAACTAACTAACTAACTAACTAACTAACATGAGCAGGAGAATAGACAAGAGACAAGGTTCTTATCAATGGGCTGAGATGAAAGTGATGTTCTAGAAGGGACCCGCTGTACCATCATGATGATGATGAGAAGACTCAAATGTTTTTTATTTAAAACAACAACTTCTTGTGATATAACAAGTTAAAACAACAGCTGGCTAGAACTGAAAGAGTTAAAAAGTGAAGTTTCCTGAATTCACAGCATCGAGAAAAAAAGGGAGAGATAATAATTAAGTGGTTTTTCCATAACTTAAAATGTTACTAATTAAAATTTGACTTCCGCAGGACAAGGTTGTTTATTTATATCCGTTCCCTTAAATGCAATATGGTTCTTGAAAAATATTACTATGTTGTGTTTGAATATACAAATGTAAGAGCTGTTGGGATATATGAGGTGTTGATTTTGTTGTAAATGTCATGTGAATATTTGTATTGGCAGAGTGTTCTTATTATTTTTTGTGTGCCCTAATAAATCTGACCGGATGTTTACTAGTTGGGGTTTTTAGTCATCTGAAAAGATATTATTGGGTTTTTCAAGCAGTCTAACTGAGTTTAGGGGGGGGGGAAGGGGGGGGGGGGGGGGAGGGCAATATAAAAATACAAATCAGGTGGTAGTTCATATGTATATGTGACAGTATTTGATTTTCCCTATTTGTGGGCACAAAATTTCCATTCACTTCCTGTTTTGTTTGAGTTCATGTTTATATTTATAGTTTCTTTTTTCCTGTTATAAAGAAAATCTGCTATTTATCCTCTTCTCAATGTCCAAATCAGGTAACACTGTCTTTCAACAGTGTTCAGCGCTCATTTCTGATACAGAAGTTCCTAAGTGCCTTTATACCAAACTTTCCATATTCTTTGTCAGTCTCCCTCTGCCAGTTTTCCCCTTCCAACTTTTCTCCTGTGATTTGTAGGCAAGTTGTCCCATTTTTAGGGCATTAAAAAAAAAATGTGGGCTATCAGTTCTCATGTAATAATTTTTTTTCAAGGTCTTTCATTTCACTTTTTGTCCGTCATGGTGCTCTAATTTCTCTTTAAAACGAAAATCTCTGCAGCTTCCACATAATTTCTTAGTGATTTGCTGAATATCCATGATTTGTTTCCTTACACCAGGATTGGTTCTGTAGAGCTCATTTACCGTACAATTGTATCAGAATTTGAAAAAAAAAATCACATATTGTTTGTAAAGTAAACCACACATTACCACACCTTCAGGAAAATTGGGCGTATATTTAAAAAGAAAAAGTTTCAAAATAGACCAGCTGGCACACAGATGGGGGGGGGGGGGTGATGTGGCCGACATTGTGCCGTCGGCTGCTTTTACTTCCCAGGACTTTACCTGGTACCCATAACGTTGGGTCAACCTCAAAGCCGAGGTCATTTAAAAAAAAAAAAGAGTCCAGACCTAAATTTTAGCAATGACTAAAATGTTTAAAGACTTTTTGTATGTGTTGATTTTGACAATGGTGTGAAGCATTACAGTTAGCAATGGCAAAGTACCGAAAGTAAAACTTCCTGATAAAAACCACAAACAGCCAACATTGATTATGTTCGGATTTGCAGCATTTTGTAAAGCAGTGGTCTGATAAACTTTAATCAGCCCCTCCCTCCCTTCCCCCCCCCCTTCTTCGCCCTTAAGTATAGGCAACCCCCCCCCTCATGTTTGAGTATATGGTAATACTCTTGCTGCCCCCTCCCCAAGTATATGGCAGAGGCCCCCCTTCCCTCCCTCTTTGAGTATATGGCAAGACCCCTGCACACCCCCCCTCCCCCCCTTTTTTTAAAACCTTTTTTTTTAAACCTTTTTTTTTAAGTATAAGGCAAGGCTAAACTGTTTAAACCTAAACCAGCAGAAATAGTCAAACTTTCAAAACCTTAATGAGCAAAAATAGCTAAGCTTTTAAAACCCAAACTAAAAACACTGCGCAAGAATACACACGGGCGTCCAGTCTTACTGCCCAGAGACCAGGGAAAATTTCTAGAAATTCACGTGAAAAATCTGTCTTCACTGGGCTTGAACCCGGAACTTCCAGCATTGGTAGTTATTTTTCCTTTGAAATGCAAGCTGTTCTATAAATTCACATCTCCATTTGCACACCTACTTAAAAACTGAGAAACTTAAGATATATCTGATAAGTTAAGGAGATCAAATCCAATAAAATCTATAATTAATTCTTTTGTCTCTGAGTTAAACAAACTTGGATTGTCAGCATAAACACATGCAGGTAATTTGTTTAGGTTTGAGATCATCACACAGAAAGAAAGTGGAGTTATATCGGGTGTTCAGAACTTTGAGAATGGGCCCATACAGTGGAAGCGGGACTTGCCAGACACTTCTCCTTTGTCAAGGTAACAGTGCTTGTGTGTGCGTGCGGTGCGAGCGAGCGAGCGAGCGAGAGAGAGAAAGAGAACGAACAAACAAACTTTATTTTCAAAGGGTTACAAATTAGGCACGCAGGCCAGTCTTACGTTTGGCCCTTCCAATCACTCAACTTTCACACCACATATCAATACTACAGGTTATGTTTATATAAAAATATACATAATGAAATATTGCATACACACACATCATGTATACACAGTCATACACACTAAGAATATACACGTACACATACACTTTTATTTGCCCGTGCGTACACAGACATAAGCACACTCATACATACATACACACACAGACGCACGCACGAACACACGCACACTCTGTCTCTGTCTCTCTCTGTCTCTCTCTCTCTCTCTCTCCATCTCTTTCTCTCTCTCTCTCTCACACACACACACCACACACACACACACACACACACAGATATATATATATATATGTGTGTGTGTGTGTGTGTGTGTGTTCATACAGACATTTTCAAGAATCTATGAAAGAAAGAGATTCTTTTGTGTTTTGCCTAATCATGACTTAGTCTTTTATGTTGTCTCTATCATTTATTCTGTTGTGTTGTATCTCTAATTCTGTTCTGCATGTCCCTAATTCTGCTGGGTTGCTTCTAATTCTTCTGTGCTGTGTCTTTATAGCAGCTAATTTTTATTTATTGTGTCTCTGACTATTTCTGTTGGGTCTCAGACTAATTCTGTATGCTGTTCTCTGACTGATTCTGTGGTGTTGTGTCTTTGACTTTTTCTGTTCTGTTGTGTCTCTATGACAAATTTTATTGTGTTGTGTGTCCATGAGTAATTTTGTGTGTGTGCATGCATAAATGTGCTCGCACATGCCTTGCGTAATTCCAACTGTGTTGTGTCTTCGACTGATTTCTTTGAGCTGTGTTTCTAAATTCTATTATGTTGTGTTTGTGACTAATTCTGTTGTATTGTGTTTCTGTAACTAATTCTTTTGTGTTTTGTCTATACATGACTTACTATTTTGTGCCATGTCTATTCATAATTTTCATGTGTATTAGTCTATTCTGATAAGTTATTTATTGTCCCACACAACCCTTCCCCCAACAACAGAAAAACCCACCTAGAAATGTCTGATTTCATTTATCACTTACAGTGGCCTGAAGTCTATAGTAATACCTCTACTGGCAGGCCTTATGGAACCAGACGCAGCCAAGATGATCACGTACAATGGGCTTTTCCGGATGGTGCAGAATATCAAACAGAAGATTGTCCTTCATGTCTTCTATTACAATAAATGTGAGGATCTGAAGATCTACGCTGAGCCAAACATCACGTAAGTGTTTGAATACAGATGAAGTGATGAAGACACAGAATAAAGAAGACAGGGTAATGAAGATACAGAATAGCAAATGCACAGAATATTGAAGACACCAAATATTAAAGACACTCAATGGGGGACAGATTTCAACAACAAAAATAGTGGCCACATAGAATAGCAGAGACACCGAATAATAAAGACGCAGAATAATGAAGACACAGAATAGCAACTAAATTACAAAAGGCACAGTATAATGTAGACGCAAAGCAACAAACTAACAAAAAACAAAATAAAGAAGACACAAAATATCAGCTAAAAAACAAAAGGCACAGAATAATGAAGACAATGAATAGCAACTAAATAACAAAGGCACAGAATAATGAAGATATTGAATAACACTGACACAGAATATCAACTAAATAACAAAAAGACAGAATAAGGAAGACACAGAAAAGCACCTAAATAACAAAGACACTGAACAGCAGAGACACAGAATACCTCAGTGGCTAGCATATTTTCCTGCTAACCCCATGTTCTTGAGTTGAAATCTCCATCAAGCAGGGATTTAAAAAAAATATTTTTTAATTGACCTGGATGTCCGGGTTGGCTCAGCCTCCAAATGTATACTCTTCTGAAGTTTCCTGGGATCTACAGACAGGGGAGTAGTAGTGATCACATAACTCACTGAATGCTGATTGGTCTGTATAAATTTGAGGCTGGCAGTATTCAGTTATCATACTTGAAGGTATTCGCCCCTAGTCATCTCCTTGTGAGATGCAAATTTCCGTTATTTGAAGCCCTACTCTGGCTCTTGCCAGGGGCCGCAATATAGCCCGGTCATAAATATGGTCTAATGGCTGAACGCGGTTTCTGGGACCTCTTCACGGGTGATCCTCAACCACATGGTGGCACTTTGTGTGTTGACCTGGTTGCTGGGGTAAAAGAAGATAGCTAGATAGGTATTTGCTGTGGCGTAGCAGCTAGAGGCGGATTGGAAGGTCATGGGTTCAGGTCCTGACGGTACCAGGCTTCTTTTTTTTTTTAAATGACCTTGGCTTCCAGGTTGACCCAGTCTTGAATAACTACCAGGTGGAGTCCTGGGAAGTAAAAGTGGCTTCCAGGTTGACCCAGCCTTGAATAACTACCAGGTGGAGTCCTGGGAAGTAAAAGTGGCTTCCAGGTTGACCCAGTCTTGAATAACTACCAGGTGGAGTCCTGGGAAGTAAAAGTGGCTTCCAGGTTGACCCAGTCTTGAATAACTACCAGGTGGAGTCCTGGGAAGTAAAAGTGGCTTCCTGGTTGACCCAGTCTTGAATAACTACCAGGTGGAGTCCTGGGAAGTAAAAGTGGCTTCCTGGTTGACCCAGCATTGAATAACTACCAGGTGGAGTCCTGGAAAGTTAAAGTGGCTGATGTGATGCTGACCACATCACCCACTGAGTGCCGATTGGTCTATAAATTATACATCTAGCCCTATATGTTCAGTAAGCCTGAAGGCGTAGAAAGGGTCCTTCACTTTTACTTGAAGGTATAGAAAAATTGGATTAGGGGAGGAAAAAGTGGGGGGGGGGGGGGGATCTCATTGGCACAGTGGTCAAACTATTGCCTTACGTTCTTAAGATTTTGGGGGTTCATTTAACAGATGCATCATTCAGTTAACAGGTGCAGTTTTTACAGAGATTTCTGGGGATTATTGCTGGAGCTGTGGAGTTTGTGCTTTGTGTTATGCTCTCTAAAGGCAACTACCTGTTGCAGAGAGAGACTTGGCCACGTGGAATAATATCTGGTGCAATGAAGTCGATCCCTTTTAACTTGAACTTTGACTTTCAACATATGTGACATTTCAACTTCTGATACTAAGGAATTGTAAAATTCATCATCAACATACTGTTGTGTCATTTGTACGCCACATAGAGCCTACTTCTATTCCTCCCTTTCTCTTCATCGTTTGCAGTCTTTTTCTGTCGTGGATGGAAATGTTTTGTGCACCTTTGACTTGCCTTGGCTTTTTTTTTTTAAAGGGTTTCTCTCTGACATCCTTGCTTTCTAATTCCATTAGTTTCATATTGACAGCAATGAGAACATACAGAAAAAAATTAAGAAATTCATTTGCAGGACACGTAAAAATAAATAAGTCTCTAGAGATAAAGATATGATAAGACAGAAGGTGAGGTGAGAAAAAGAAATTGAGGAAGGAGAAGAATAAAAGAATAAAATATATATATTTGTGTGTGCGTAATTGTACATGTATACCTATGTGTGTGTGTGTGGTTGTGTTTAATGCATACCAGCTGCCTTCCCAACAACCCTTACCAGGTATTAGAGTACCGCTCCAAACCACTAGTTTTGGTGCAATAATAATTTCTTAGCCAACAAAATTGGCACATAAAAAACAAGACAGCAATTATAAACGATACTGCTCGCAGTAGGCTAAACGTGGTCGATTTTTTTGTTTTGTTTTTCCTAAAAGATGAATTGAAGACCTGGCTGGCCAGACAGACACAAAAGACAAAAAATAAACACCAAACACTATGCAGTGAAATAGCAATACAGTTTGTTACCATAATTATAACCCATATTGAAAAGGATGAAGCTAGCTCCCTAGTCAGAGGTTGAACGTGGCTAATTTAAATTGAAAACATTAATGAAAAATGACCCATTTAGTGATTTTGTGTCTGCTTTTTCTCAAGATGTGCCCAGTATGTCACCATCTTTGGTTTAAAACTGTTGATACTAGTAGTTGTCCAGTCATTTCTTTTGTTGCTTCTTCTTCTTTATTTGCTCTTGTACCATATGGGGTGTCGAGGGAGATATAAATTTCTGCTTCTTACTCTTCTGGCCACATTGACCTCTTATTTCTTCATCTTTCTTTAATTCATCTCATCTTATGTTCATCAATTTCCTTACCTTTGTTCTCTAATGCACTTAACGTTTCTTCCATGTCTTTAGTGGGTCTCCACATTTCACTGGTTAGGTTAGTTGCGTATCTTTTACAGGACGTTGCAGAACCAACCCCAACAGCCCCTGGCTGTTGTGTGGTTTTTCTAGGCAAATCTACGTCCACTAGTTTGCCATTGCTTTCTGGATGGTCGGCTTTCTTGATACCACTGTCCAAACCAACACAAGGTGCATGGCCAGCAGCTGGGATCGAACCCGGTATCCCAGCATTACGAAGCGTTCCCATCGACTTAGCCACAGAGCCGACCATTTCACTGGTAATATATGTTAAAATCAAAATAACATTAGAATTAAAAATTGATGACTTGATTTTAAAATTAAATATTTAGGTAAGGAATTGAATAAATTAGTTCAGAATTATTTTCTTTAAATTGGTTATTCTTATGTAGACATTTTTTTAAAAATCTCTTTTTGTGTAGTTTCACAGGCATTCTAGACGAGATTGCAGCGGTGACAGACATTGTAGCCTCCGACCAGATTCTGATTGTTGGTGGGAAGCTGTTGGAGGACGTGATTGACCCCAGTTGTCCATTGCAGAATTACCCATCTTATCTGATCTCTGGCAGCATCTACTTGTTTCAGAGGGAAATGACAGAGGCATATCGGCTACCCAGACCTGAAATTCGTAAGTATGGATCTCTATCTCCATCTCCATCATCATTAAACTCTAACTCTTTCGCCCCTTACCTCCTTCCCCTGGATCTGCATGCCTGGACATGTCTCAGTAAAAGGTAATGATTGAGTGGACCTACTGGTGAGCATTGCAGCACTGTTTGCTGAAAGATGCATGCATGGAATTGAAATCAACAGTGCTATATGGACTAGACTGGAAGTTAATGATGAATCTCTTATGCTGACATGGTTAAATTACCTGAAAGTGAAGCCTGGTGAAGCATGACTGCGTCTTCTTGGAGATCAAGTTAGGGTTCATTCGTAATCAACTACTGATGGGAACAATCAGTAGAGGTACCTTTGGTGCTTTATTAATAACCTACCCCAAACAGGGCAATCCACAGGTCATGGGACAGTCTAATATTTTAGGGGGTGGTAGATAGGCTGCATGCAGTCATGGGACCTAGGCTGCACTCTCTCGTGGGACATAGGTGGGTTGGCGTTAGGGCCAATTCTAGATGTTTTGAGGATGTTAAAAGCATCAGAAAGCTGGGAAACCCAGTCTTACCACCCTCTAAAATGTTGGACTGTTCTGTGACATCATCTGGGGTAGGATATTAATAAAGCACCATACACCTTATGGTGGCTGCTGCATTGGAAGACTGAGCACACATGGGAAAGCCCTGTGTGTTCAGTGATGTCGATTGTTGAAACAGAACTTTACTCTCTTCTTGTAACTCTTTCAGTTTCAGTAGATTACAAGAAAGATTTCAGAAAGAAGAAAAAACAAATTTGAATAATCATTTATAACTTTCAAAGAGTCTACATACACTATGTGCCTGAAGGCTGCAGGAGGGACCAGAAGAAATACAATCAGGAATGTGGTCATAAGAGAAAAGGTCAGCACAAAACCAGTTCTGAATTACATTCAAAGACAGCTTCTTCTTCATCTTCTTTATTGCATTCATCGGCTGTAAACTCCTGTAGACAATTCTGGTTGTTTGTCCATCCCCAGACTTTAGTCTTGGTTCAGAACCTGTGCGCACATCCATTTTACAGATCTGGCTTTTATGTTTTCAGACTGTGGTACAAAGATAGGAAAATCATATGGTTTGCCCACTTAGAGAGAATGCCTTGTGATACCATACCATACAAGGCTTACACCAAAAGAGGAGAAGGACATAGAGCACAAGGTAGACCAAGAATAAGATGGAAAGATAACATCAGAGAAACTCTACAGCAGCATAATGTGTCTATTGTTGAGGCTGCAAGAAAAGCAAAAAGCAGAACCGTATATCTTCCTCGACACTCGAAGCGGTAAAAGAGGAAGGAGACAAAATACGCTATAAAGAGCAGCAGGCCACATGGTTAGAATGCTGGGCTTGTATATGGGAGACCCAAGTTCAAATCATCATGGAGATCTTTGTTCTATTAAAGGCCAAAATAAAGATTCTGACTTGCAGTGACTGTTGTGACTGCACTGCACTTGTGACCTTAAATCCTCAGCTCGAGATCCTTTCATCTTCTGCCACCAGAATTTTAAAAAATGCCAGTTTCTCCTGTATTTACCACTTTTGTGGCAGTGGGTTTTTTTTATCTTGAGATTTTAAGGCCGCATGGCTAGTACTGTCGCCAAAGAATGTACAGGTTAGGATTTTATTTTTGCTAGTGAAGGAAACATACTCAGCATACAGCGAGCTAAATCTGCTAACTGCGGGCAGCTAAGACGATTTTGTTTATGGAACCATTCGAAAATATTTTTTTTTGCTAGCTTTGCTAATAAAACAGTACAAGTTACTTTAAAAACAAATACTTGATTGTTCCATTTCATCCTTACAATTTCTTTTCCATTGTAATTGTTCACAGCACAGTTCCCAGATTTTGCGGTGTACCCAGACATGGATGCAGATGCACGAACTGCCCACAGTTGCTCAGCAAAAGGGGAATTAATTAAGAGAAATGTTGAAAAAGTTTGCCAGCTTCAAGAAAAATTAATCAATGGATTGTTTTACTTAAGGTATTTTTTTTTCTTCTTCCGAATTCAGAAATTACTGGGGTATACACAGAATAATAAAGGCACAGAATAGCAAGTACATAGAATAATGAAGACAGAAGAGAAGAAAGAACAATGAAGACTTAAAATAATGAAGACTGAATAGCATAGACACAAAATTACAGTGAGATATTTATAATTGTATCATTGTCCATTTGTTTTGTGTGTTGATGAAGGCTTTCTAGCCACAACATTCATTTTGTCAATCATGACTGTGGTATTATAAAGCTTTCTAGTTCTTCTTCCAGAGAAGTGGTCCAATAGTTTGTACCTGCCTGTAAATGGGACCAAAACCACTGCCCCAGTTTTCTTAGGGATACCCTTCCAACAGTCAGAACCACTGTAACAGGGATCTCCTCCAAATTGTCAGTGAGCAGCACTGATATGAAGTCAGTTACAGAAGGAGAGATCAATAGACTTTATCCACACCAGAGCTAGATTAGTGTGTATACACATGGCTCAGCCAAGAGAGCAGTAAGAGACGGAGGAGGAGGAATATATATATATATATAGAATTGCCCAGATGGTTTAAAAATCAATCTAGCTACACCAACAGGCTCATATTCCTCCTATTACAGAGCAGAGGCAGAAGCTTGTTAGTGGCCTGTTCTTTCCTGAATGGACAACAGCACAGCAAATATAGCAGAGTGGTCTCTGACTGATGCTATGGCATTCTACAGGCAATTGTTAACCCAAAAGACACTCAGTTTGTGGACTTGACACAACAGCTGATTCACTTAGGTTCTTCAGTAGAATAATCTGTACTGCAGTGGATTCCAAGTCTGTGGCTTGGAAGGCAATGAAATAGCGGACAGGTTGGCTAGAAGCGGCATTGACATGGTACAACCAAGTAGTGACTTAACCTACCAAGTGACTAAGACATTAATACTGTCTAGTATTCAAGAAAGGTGACTGGATACATACACTAAATTCTCTCCTCAAGACTCACTTCGTGGCCTCTCTAGAGATGCACAGTGTATTATATTCAGACTAAGGACAGGGCACAACATATGTTCAAACTTTTCGGTGTAGGAAACACAGAATTGATTCCCTGTAGTGAAGCACCCGAACATGCTTAGCATGTGCTTCAACACTGTCAACTTTATACTGACAATAGAGACGCAGTCTGGCCTGTTCCAACCATAATGAAGACAAAACTGTATGGAACAAGGGTAGATATGGACTGCACAATAGCTTTCATAAAGGCTACCGGCCGCCTAGTATAAGTTTTCTGACTGAAAGAAGAAGGTTGAAATTCGTTCATGAGAAATTATTGGTTCACTATTTATGTATATTTAGAATCTGACATCCAGTTCAGTGTGGCAGATTGCCAGCTTACCACTGACGAAAAGTTAATTGATTTTAGCACAGGTTTTCTTATGCTAATTCTTTATTTCTGGATTGGGAGTCCAAAGGTTCCGTCAGCCAGCTACTGAGTTGGGTGTATGGTGCGACACTGTAAGCTGTGAATTCCACGTGTAATTTTTTTTTTTTTTTTTTGGTTGTGCCCACAGTGGCTTTTTGTTGTCAATTGCACTTAGAATTTTGAATTGCCAAGTTTGTTCGGAATGGCATGTACTTTTGCAGTACTTTGCGAATAATGCAAGTTTTCATAATTTACTGCTTGCCTCAACAATGCATTGTAATTCTTTTGTGGGACTGTTAGTGTTAGCACATCTGACTGCTGCCTTATGCATTTACTTTGCTTGTTTGAGTTTTTTAAAGATTTTGCTGGGTCTGACTTGTTTTTCACGAGTCTTCAAATGGGGAAAGTGAAGGACATTTTGAGTGATTTCCACTGCCCAGAAACAGAACAGTTAAAGGGTAGCCAATCTGCAGTGAAGCTGGAACCTCAGCTAATGAGCGATGACTTATTTGGAGCATGTTATCATTTTTTTTTTTTGGAGCTCATTGTTGCTACTTGTTTACTGATTGTGAGTTCTGAACTCTATGTACTCCAAGTGTACACCCCTTTTTTGCAGGTGGGGGAGGGGGAGTAGATACACTGCTCCTTAACGAGCAGTAATTGAGAATTACCATGAATATACTGTTCTTATAGCTTGTTGGTGTTCCTTCTTATTTAATCTCATTTCTGTTCCTTCAGTAACAGTTTTCATTGCTAGTCTTTTCAGAATCTCTGTATTTGACTGTGTTTGTTTCCACATGAAATATCACTTACTCTTCTGTATGTCCACATCTTTATAGACTCAACTTTCATTTTCTTCTTCTTATGGTTATTATTATTTATTATTCTTGTGCGCTCATCTGAGGACTAAACCGCATTGAGTCCATTTACATTATACAATTTGTCTGCAATATTTACTCCTTTAAGCTGACATATCCAATTCCTTCAGCCATTTGTTGTCCAGGTTAGCCTTCCTGATAAACGCAATTTGATTTTCTAATGAGGTATTGATTAACAAGCAAAAGATTGATTTTTGTTCCAAGACATGTTGGTGTAAGGAAACACTGTAGTGCAGTTTCTAGATGCGCACCTAAAAGCCTTTGGTTCGAATCTACACAAGTAATTAGTTTAGGGCTACGAGTCAACCCCATCTAAAATGGGTCCTAGGAAGTAAAGTTTTTGGCACTTTTGACATCTGCAGTGTGTGCATTACTTCTGGCTTTTCTGGGACTGCTGTCTGTGTCCAGCTTTTCACAGTGTTAGACATTTTGTGTGTGTTTTTTTTTTCTTTTTATCTGGCACAGGAATGGAGCAATTTTGTGTGAGTGGAAAAGAGGGTGGGGAGGGATCTGTTAAAGGTTAAGGTGGAACTGCTTCTGACTGAATAACTGTTTTTTGGTTGGGTTTTCTTCCAATTTTTAGGGTTTATGTTGAGGGTCGACTGGCAGCTACGAAAGTCAGCCACGAGTCTCTGAAACAGCTGATGAATGAATGCAAGGACCACATAGCTACTTTCTTTGACATGGTCAAACTCTTGCGAGATGTAGTTGTTACCGAGAAGGCTGCACGCAGGGATGTTGAGGCTTTGAATGAAGTCCTGAAAGATTCGGTCATCAGACAGGTGCATGAAAAGGTTGGTATGTTTATGTTTCATCTGAGTACTAAAGGTACAGGTGGTCCCTTAGCTGTTGCTGCTATTGGGAGGTGAAGTGTGAGGCTTTGGCTTATTCTAGGACAGAGGTCTCTGATTCTTTTCATGTGCTGCCCTCCTTGAATATGTGACAAGACACCCACGCACCTCTCCTCCCCTCCCCCTTAAACATAAATTGTGTTAAAAAAGAGGAATTTGTTCTTAGTATTTAATAAAGGGCACTTGTTATCATATTAATTAGATTTTTAACAGTGGTACAAACTGCTTTTTAATAAGAATAATCCCACTGTGGAGTTCCTGGAAATGAAAGAGCTAATAAACTAGCTAAGGAAAGTGCAAATGAAGAACAACCTGAGGTACCAGTCTCTTATCAACAAAAGAAGAGAATAATTAAATCAATCAGAAAGACACCAAAACTGGCACAAGACAATTAACATTTTATGGACAGACCAGAGCAAGTTATTATTCAACCCCTTAGAACAGGACACTCGACTTCACAGCCACATGTACACAAAATTTAAAATCGGCAAATCATCCATGTGCACTTGTGGATTGGCACATGACACAACAGGTCATGTCCTCCAAGACTGTCCCAAATACAACAAGTCAAGGCAAAACTTTTGGCCAAGAGAAACATCGCTGCAAGTCAAAACTTACGGGTTGCTAAGTGAATTACAAAAGACTGAAGATCATACTATAGACAGCCCCGTGTGGGTTCCGGGGCCCTATTGTGGGGAAAACAAGAATAGACCCACTGCCTCCCCAAAAGCATGTCGTAAGAGTCGACTAACTGGGGAGCTTCCTTTGAAGTCGAAGTGCATCTGCCTGAGAGGCAAGGAACCAGCAGTCTGCATTCAATAGAATCAGATCTGTAAAACTGATGCACATGCAACACCCAGGTTCTGGAGCAGGACTGCAGTCCAGAAGTGGACGAACAACCAGAACTTTACGCCAGAATGTACAGCTGGTGAACGCAAAGAAGAAGAAGATACTATAGACAAAATTGCAGATATAGATAATCTATTTCAAGCGAACAAAAGAAGAAGAAGAAAAAAATGTCCTTGACTTTTTGTTTTGTTTTAATAAACAGTGTTAAAAATATTTTTATTTTAACCGAACGAATTATTACAGTTACGGGTGCACTCTTCAAAATCTCTCGATACCCCACCCTTTGAACTTCTTCAAGCTCCTCTAGGAGGGTGCGCCATCTAGCTTGGAGACCACCGTTCTAGGACATGGCATGCAAGATGGGATAGCAGAAGTGCTGATCCACTTGTGGGGATGCACCAGGACTGGAACTCATACTTGTCATGACCTATCTGCACCTCTCTGTGGTCATCCTAGAAACAACTTCCCTACTAGGAAATCCTGACCTGTATAGATAGGACTAATGTTTCCTTTGAAGTCAGAGTGCATCTGCCTGGAAGGCAAGTAACCAACAGTCTGCACACAAATAAGGCAGATCTGTGGAGAGGGGATGTATGTGCACGCAACACTCAAATTCTGCAACGAGACCAAAGTCTAGAAAAGGATGAAAAAGCAGGACTTTCTGTTGGAGGTTGCAGCCAGGGAAGAAGAAAAAGAAGAATTCAGACAAGAAGAAGAAGAAGAAGAATTCAAACGAATAAGACATTCCTTGAAGCTATCTTCTCACTTCACAGTTTTCAGCTTGAATAAAAATGTGCTCACACTTTGAACAAACTTCACAGGCAAATGAACGCATGACCGAGATCGAACAGTACAGAGATATGTTGGTGAAAAAGTCAGAAGATATTAAAGAATATGCCACCAAGATCACAGCGGTTTGCCAGGATGAAAAATGGTAAGTAACTTGTTCTGTCTTCTTTAAACACAAAACTCATCTTGTTCAACCTACTTCTTTGATGTTTGCTATGTTTGTAGCTTTGT